CTTCGGAACAATGCGGAGGCTTTTTTTCACTTGCAGGCTGCGTTTCCAATTGCTATAGGTATTTTGGGAACGTTTCGTCATTTATAATCGGTTATTGGCTTTGTTAATATTGTTGTACGAAGTGTTTAAATTAAGAATCATGTTGGATACATACAATATGTTCAGAATAAACTTAAATTTTAATTAAAAAACATTGAGTAGGTACTGTCGATGTTTATAACTTTCGAAGCAATTAATGACAGAGTAATGAAAACCCTTTGAGGCTTTAGCTCTTTAAAACGTGTACAATAGAACTAGAATGGCTATGAATATCGCGTTAAAAGCAATTAAATCGATACCTCTATTGAGATCACAACCACAGGAATGCGCGTTGATGTCTTTTACTCTACAAACGCAAACTTGCGCACACGCATACCGAAACGTTCTCTCTGTATATACATCATAAAAATATAGATAAGTTCACTCTAGACACAGTTAAATGATCATACAGCTTCAGATAAAGTACTTGAAAGTAACATAACCCATCAAAACAACTTTCTAGTCCGTCGACTTAGAAATGGCAGGTGTTACTTCAAGCTTTAGTACAAAGTTTCATAAACACTTAAATAGACAATGTGTGAACTTACAGCGTTTATACATAAGACTTATTATAAAAGATGAAAGCATTTCTCTGCACATACTAACAAGTTACAACTATACATACTATTATGTTCAATATAGAGTCACGCACACATGCATACAATAATATTTTAGGTTTAAACCTCAAATAGGTATAACTCACCATCGTGGTCATTGATTTAGACCAATTATAAACCCATTTCTTGGTTCAGAACACGGTTATTACGTACACACAGGCAGACAAACAAAAAATATCAATCGTAAACCACTTTACATACACACAAGTCGAAATGTTTCACATCACTAGTTAGGTTTTATCACTTTGTCACATCACTATTTGGACTTCAGATAGGTAGAAGTCGTTTGGTGATGTATTCGGAGTATAGACTTTAGTTTTTCTAAGTCGATGCTAACGTTTGGCGGTGGCATGCGCTTGCGCTGCCTCTGAACGACTGACTGCCGGTCGATGGGGCTGCCAACATCTCGAGCAGAATTTCCTGCTACGCGTAGTCTTGCTTTGAAAACACTCGGGTGTAGCAAGTGACTCCAAACATTCTTGGATTTATAAAATGAAGTTCAGTTATATTAAATAGGATTTCATGAAAATTTGTTAATTAATTTAGAGACATTCAATTTCAATAGATGTTATGATTAACGTAGAGTGTACAATGTAGAGTCTTCTGCTGAAAAGATTTATTTTTTATAATTTTTATTTATTGTTTTTATAGCCGTACGAATTAATAATCAAGTACAATATAGCGGTTAGTACGTAATAAAATAAATATCAAAACGAATGTATTTTGCTTTATTTCACTGAATACAATAAAACAGTGAGAATTAACCCAAAATCTTTTAAATGCATTTATATCCCAAACACTACCAAACTACTTTTCAAACTGACTCTTGCAACACTACACAAGCCTCCATTGTATCTAAAGTGAGACAGAAGATATCCCCATCTCGCTCTTCCTGTCGGAATGTGACCCGCTATCACCTTGAAGGCCGCAAGCTTTGGACGACTCAATGAAAATAAGAGCTTTTTAAATACTCCACGAATTAAAAACTTAAACTAATTAAGAAAGACTTGCGAAGAAGAAAAATCTGCATTTTTTACTTATATTCTTTATATGGTTATAGTTTGCTTATACTAAGCGTCGTATATATTTAGTTTCTGGTCATGCCGGATTCCCTAAGCCTGTTACTGGTTCGTATAAACGCTCGTAGCTAAGTACTGCGTACCTAGCATACAGTTATTAGATAGATTACAGTTTGATATCCGACTTCGGACTCGAGTTATGCAAATAATTGCTTAAGATTGGACGTTATTTAAGAATAACTTTACGAGTAGGCATCCAATTACGATTAAGAGGGGCCAAAGTTCGCTGAATTGCTTCTTGAATAGTATTTTATTTTACGTAGATGTCTAATCGGTTTTTATTCCTTAATGAGAGGTCGTTACGTAAAGCTAAACTTAAGAAGCTGGGAACTACGGAAAAGTACTAAAAATAAGCTATTTTAACAAGACTACTAGCGGCTCACCGGACTCACCTCAGTTTTCTTAAACACGGTAGTAATTCTCAATGTTCCCGGTGAATATGTAAAATTTTTCTTATCCTAAAAATAACGAGCATAATAAAGTTATAATGTAATTTACTCCACTTTTATTTAACTCTCAGATCAGAAGAAATTCTTCGTAATGGAAGGGTATAGTTTCGAGTTGTAGCCGGTGGTATAGTAAATGCAAATCAACAACATAACTGGTCAGATGTGGTTGTTAATGTGAACATTATATGGGCACAAAGATTCTAATAAATTGTAAAGAGAGTAACTGGAGATTGCCTTATTGGCCAAATGGCCACAAGTGCAAGGTCTCGCATTCAATGCCTGGGTCGTGTAAAATTGTACCAGTTTCTTAATAAAAAATCTCAGTATAAGTACGCAGTCCAGAATTTTTTTCAGTGTATGGCAATAGACTCACACCCTGTTGGTTATCTACCTACATTAGACTCATAATAATACGAGTGAAAAATGAGTGTAACAAAGGCTATCTATGTCAATTAACAAAAAATCGCGGGTTACTCACATGAAAATACTGAGAAAAGATCTTAGTTTAAATAGATCTGGCTATCTCTTAAAAATGAGAACCATTTTAGAAAGATTTAAGATATAAAGGTTGTACTTACCGCAAACCAATCGATGAATACACAAGAACGTAGAGTGTTATATAAAACTGATTTTGATCTCAAATACGTATACACCTACTTGTTTCTGGATGAGGTATTCATTGACAAGATTTTTAGTTCAGTGAACTTTGAAAAAAAAACGATATTCCCACAAATTATCTTATCTCTGCTACTGCTAGAAATATAAGTTGCTTGTTTCAATATAATATTTCTGTGATAATAAACAATTTTACAATATAAAGCCACTTCCTCAATTAAATATAAGTACAATGGGCACGAGCCAGGAAATTATAAAAAGGTTTCTGAGTAATTTTTGCTAACCACAAAATATAGCGGATGACTGCGTTTCATCTTGCGATGCCAGTGGGTTTAATGCACTACGTTCGCTTTTAAGTTTAAAGGTATGAAGTAAGAACTGTGAATTTTGTGATTTTTCTTCTTAGAACCTATTCGCGAGAACTCTTAAAATTTAACCGACTTAGGTCTAATACAGGCGAAGGTAATTAAGTTTTACTTACACTTACACGTTGCCATCGAGTATTTGTATAATCTTGGAAATATCCACTGATTTTTCAAGATTTTTTTACTTTGTGTAATATCTTGTTGTGCCTGCAATATAAAACTGAGCAATCAATAACTTGTTTGTTATTTGTAATATATACGATCGCTAACTTACATCTTCTGGGAACTTTCCCCTGTGATAGTGATGCGGACGAATACTTTGACGCCTAAATTAAGGGTATAATTTTTGTTGTTTTCTTTTACTTTCTTTTTATTTAATAGTTTAGTTGTAGTTAATTTTAAGTTGTAAATATTTATGTAGTTATATTTAATTAGATGTAAATTTTCTGAACGAATAATAAAATATAGAGTACGATACCACTTGTACGCTCAACTTACATTATAATATATGTAGTTTTAAATTCTACTTACCTGATTTGAAAGATAAACTATTTTCGTAAATTAATATATGTCGTCATCATCTCCGTTTCGTCGAGGCGTTACTGTAAGTGTAAACTTTCGCGTTCGCGCCATTACAATACGAACTTTTATTTACTATTAAAAGTAGATCGGAACGGTATTTTCGTCCAATACATTGTGAATTATATGTAACACAAATGGATATATTCGATAAACTACTTACATTTTTATGATTTCATTACCAAATCAATGAATTTAATCAACAAGGTTATTATTCCTAGAGTTAAAAAATAAAAATGTTTATAATTTTCAACACAAAACTGCTTGAATCGGAACACATCACGTTGCTAAGCAACTGTCAGTTTGACAACCGTTTGTTTATATCTGTGGCGTTGACAGTAAAGCAACATAACGTTTTATTTGAAATCGCGTGAATGCAGGCAATGAAAATTAATTTACAAGGAAGTAAATTGAATTGAGCGTAATCTGTCTGACCTCACATGTTCCAATTACGGGTCGTTTTAGCACCCACGCCAGCGAATGTAATTGAGTTGGATCATTACGAAGGAGGTCTGAAGCGTGTGCAGTCAACCACAGAGGTTGGTATGTATTGATCTCGCAAAGTGACTCATTTACTTCTGTTTCGGAAATAATTCCTTATTCGGTCGTTACCTTGTGTTTGTGCTACAATTTCGCATCTTAAGACAAGTTCCTACAAGTGGCTGTGTTTTGTTGTGATTCAATGCTAGTGTCATGTTTTCTTTTATCTATCTCTGTGTTAGCTAAAAAAGCCTATAGTTATTTTAAAATAAGATAGTTATTGCTCTGTAGTTTAGAAACTTTTTAACATATAAAAGAAACTGTAGGTAGAATTTATAAAAACGTTACATGTGAGGTAACTGCAAGTATTCCTTATTAAACAGTGGTAGTGAGTTCATGGTTTATTTAGTCACTGTACTGAGTCATGTTATAGTCTCAATAATCTTTGATATAACAGTTTAATGTTTAAAAAGGTGTACTCTCTGAATTTGATGTTTAAATTTTGTTTGACAAATGAAAGTTTTTCTGTTGTGTGTGTCAAAAAAACAAAAAGGTTTGTGACTATGTTTCCAGTTTTTAATTAATTATTGTGTATAATCTTACAAAATATGAAACATAGTTAAAACAAGAACTATTTGAAAAACGTCTCATTTTGAACACTAAGAACAAGAATTTTTTATCTATCAATTTTCCTAAAACTTTATAACAAATATATTTTCAGATAAATAATACAAAACAATGTCTCGTCCCCGGCCACAATGGCAGCTTCAAGCTTTAGCTGCACAAAGACGTGACAATGAGCTAAAGCGAGCGGAAGAGTTGAAGAAGGTGGCTACATACTTTGAGACTAACACCAATAAGTCTCGACATCATGAACAATGGACTACTGAAGGGTATTATGAAAAGGCTAATAAGGAGGCTGAACTACTTAGCCAGAGGAAGATTAGAGCTGCGTAAGTATGATTGGTTTTATACTCTGGAAATGAAAAGCTTTTTACGAACAAGCTTTTATTATTGGCATTTATTGGGTAATAAAAACTCGAGAAAATACTTAAATTATACTATTTAAAGTGTTCAACCATCAAAATTTTCAAAAATATTTCTATTGAACCAAGATTTAATCTCTGCCTTGGTAGTTGCTACTATCGCCCTTTAAATGGCAATAACTAAAATAAATGTAAATGACATATTTTGTCATTTACATTTATTTTAGAGCTTTGGTCCATGCTACAATTAGCCTTGATTGTATACCTAATAATTTGTACTAATTATCATAAAAACAATGTTCGCACAAACCTCAAGAGTTTATTGAACTTTATCTTGACAAAAAATGGCTGTGTCTAAAATCATCGCCAAAATAAAGGTGCTAGCAAAAAACGAACTTTAAATTATTTACACTTTTTGCATGTAAAGGATATTGTTATTACACTAAGAAATAAACAGAAATCTACAATTGATTGTTCACAAAGGAATGTATTTAAACTTTTTGTTTGTACTTTTTAGACAACTCGAGGAGCGGCGTAAAAAACTGGAACTAATGTTGTTTCAAGAAAACATGCAGTTGCAACAGGAATTAAAGAATTTAGCTGCTCAACCAAAGTATTTTAAGAATGGGTGAGATTACTTTACTTTCCTCAGACTTATTTTGATTTTACTATAGTATAAAATATAAATAGGTAGTGTCGCCTATGGGCAACAAACAGTAGGTAATCATTTAAAAAAACTAGCAAAACAAACTATTATCAATGATAATGATATATGATACAAACGCATACCTACCTTAATCATGTAAGAATGACTTATAGAAATTGCAGACTCAGAGCACTTTTCAAAAATACCGTCCATTGAACCATTTTAGGGTGTAACCATCCAGGTTAACAACTTTTTCTCTCAGTGGTATATTGTTGCCTATCTCTACTGATCATAGTTTAGTTGATTAGTGACCAGTTATGCCTTATGCCCTTGATTTCAACAAATCACTAGTTTTGGGGATTTCGTTTTTAAACCTCCCATATTACTCAAGAATACTACTTACCATTTTACAGTTTTCTACAAATACTAGCTTTTGTAATTTGTTTAGGCTGGGTACCCTATATAGAATCGTAAATCTTATACTCTTATACTATAAATATAAAGAGTTTGTTTGTTTGTTTGAACACTCTATCTCCCAAACCACGGATTCGATTTGGATCATTCCTTTTGTGTTGAATAGTACAGTTATCAAAGAAGACTATAGGGTATATAACATTATGCTATGGCTAATAGTAGTCGAGCAGAGCAGGTGACACCGCGCTAAAGTCGGTAGTCGTATATAAAATTAAATTACTATAATATGTTAACTTTTTTTATTTTATTTATTTAAGTTTTATACTATTGCCTAAGGAAAACTTCACTAATATTAACAGCAACACTTTTTCAGTTCTTACCTAAACAAAGTGCCAACAAAAACCCTACAAGATATCAACCAGGGTATCATGGCTAAGGAAGAACAGCTGCTTCGTCACGAGGCAGAGCTTCGACTGCACCATGCTTGGAGGATGCGGCAACCTGAACTGAGGGCTGCTACTAGTTATGTCAATAATGGAAAGCTCAAGTCTGCCTGGTAAGAGTAAATACATATTTCAACTAAAAACATTTTGTAAAAAACTAGCCAAGTATCAATGGAGCCGCTCGTTCTTATCTAAAAAGTAATTAAATATAGACAAAGTCGTGTCAAGGCTAAGGTTCCTTACTGCGATTTCTTTATTATTATAGTTAATGTTGTGTGACTTGGTCGTTGAACCGCTACCTATGGAAAATGGAAAATTGCCACTAAGAAAAAGTTGATTGAATAAACAGAAATTCTGGCGACAAATTGGTCCTTCAACGGCCAAGTCATACAACATTAATTATCTATAATATTAAAGAAATCGCAGTAAGAAACCTTAGCCTTAGCACGACTTTGTCTAGATTTTATTACTTGCGGCAAAATGGTTCCAGTAAAGAATGGTACGGTAAATGCTTCGCGCTCGAATTGTTGGGATATGAAGTATTGATCAAAGACTCGGAGGCAATGGGTTTATTGATTTTGGTCATAATTATTCAATTTCAGTAAGTAAAGTGCAAAGCAGATTTTTACCGACTTCAAAAAAAGGAGGAGGTACTATGTTCGGCTGATTGTTTTTTTTTTTTTTTTTTTTTTTGTTTGTTCGCGCAGTACTCCGCCGTTTGTGGACCGATTTCGAAAATTTTTGTTTCGTTTGAAAGGGTATACTCCCGAGATGGTCCCATTTCCATGAAGTCAGGATCTGATGATGGGATCCTAGGGAAACCGAGGGGAACTTTCGAAAATTCTATGGGGGAGTAATGCGTCTATTATGTTTTTCAATTACGAATTTTAAACACTACAATTTAATAAGGGTCTGGAGTCGACCTGATGATGGAGTCGACAGACAGTCGAGGGAACTCCTCAGTGGTTTATATTAACTACCTTGTGTTTGGGCTTAATTAATTTGTATTGATGAGGACTTTACACCTAGATAGAGTGGGGCTGTCATTAAGGGTCTGATGATGAAGAAGTGTAATTGTTAAGGGAACTCCTCAACGGTATACAGTAACTACCTTGAGTTTGGGCTTGATTAATTTGTATTGATGAGGACTTTACACCTAGATAGAGTGGGGCTGTCATTAAGGGTCTGATGATGAAGAAGTGTAATTGTTAAGGGAACTCCTCAACGGTATACAGTAACTACCTTGAGTTTAGGCTTGTATAATTTGTATTGATGAGGACTTTGGACCTATGTATATTATAAGTAACAAAACGGGTATATGTAGCTTTACACTGAAAATGGTAAAATAATAAAATAAAAACTGCGTTTAAAAAACCGACTTCAAAAACCAAAAACTAATAACAAACAAAAAGTCAATACTAAAAAGCAAAAAATAACTATTATTAGTACTGATAGGTTACCCACCCACTGATAGGTTAGAAGTCGGTGCCATAAGCTCATATCATAATGATATAACTTAATGTCCACAAAATTGTGAATTAGATACCTATTAAGGTTTTAACTCGTCGAGTACCGGTTTTATAGACACAATTAAAGAACAATAGGTCGCGGTCACCGGTGACCGCTTGGTGTTTGACAGTTTAATGAATAATTTTGTATGGAACTTATGGCACCGACTTCTTACCTATCAGTGGGTGGGTAACCTATCAGTACTAATAATAGTTATTTTTTGCTTTTTAGTATTGACTTTTTGTTTGTTATTAGTTTTTTACAATACGAGAATGAGAAACTAACTGCGAGTCTATTTACAGTTTCTTTATGTTTAAAATACTGACCAGATTATTATTTGAATTCAGAGTCATGAGCGCCATAATACTTGCAACTAAAATAGTAAATCGAAGCATTTTTGCACTAAAAATAATAATTGTACTGTTTTGGATATTTTCCAGGATGGAGCAGATAGTGGAAAAAGAAGTACAGAAGCAGAAAGAAGAAGAAGAGACGCGTAAAGTGTTGAAAGAGAGAGATGAGATGTTGCGCAAACAGATACAGTTGGAGGAGCAGAAGTTGAAGGAGAAGGAACTACAAGTTAGGGTAAGTATTATTTTATTCTGTGTAGTGTATAGGTACATTCATCTTAGTAATTTTCTACCAAACCTACCTATGAACAAGGTTCATTTTTATTTGCACCTGTGTAGATATTTCTGTTTATTATTTCAGGAGTTACGAGAAAGTCTAGAAGGACAAATTGCAGAATTAAGTGAAAAAGAAACAATAGTCAAACGTCTTCGCAAACAGGAAGAAAAAGAAAAACTTATATTGGACGAGTTACTGTTCATATCGTGCGAAAGAGAAAGAGAACACACTCGCCTTGTGGCAGAAAGAGACGCCAGTATAGTGAACATGGGCCTACACAAATATAAACTGAAGAGGAGAGTGATCTCTGTTATGAAAGAAATAGAGTTGGATTTAGAGATGCTGGATAAATTGCGCAGGGCTGTTCAAAAGGTATGGTTTTGAAGTTGAAATATTTTGCTTTGAATGTTGAGTGGCAAGTGGGTTGCTGAGAAAGGGTCAGGCAAGATTACAATTCGGAATTCGGACATAATATAGTATTTGAACTCTAACACAGAGTCTGGAATTGCACCAACTATGGGCAACCGGCCCATTCGTGCCGAAGCATGGGTCTGCTTCGGCACGAATGGGCCGGCTCGACCGAAGTGATACCACGGCCTCACAGAAAACCGACGTGAAGCAACGCTTGCGTTCTGTTTCGTCGTGTGAGTTAGGTTACTGGAGGCCCAATTACCCCCTCTCCTTCCCCAATCTCCCCAATCACTGAATCTCCAACTATCCTCAAACTCCTAATCTCCAAAAGGCCGGTAACACACTTGTTATGCCTCTGGTATTCCAGGTGTCCATGGGCGACGCCGATTGCTTACCATCAGGTGATCCGTCTGTTTGTTTACCGGCTTATGCCATAAAAAAAACTCTGCATAGACTTACCACACGGGGCCTATAGCATAACTAATGCAAAATTGGGCGTTACCATTGTACATTAAAAATCCTGAATTCATTATAATGACATTTTTATTCCAGGATTATGATGCAGAAAAAGACACTTGTTCAAATTACAAACGGGTGTTAGACGCAGCTCTATCCGAACTGGTGGAACATAGAGAGCGTGAGCTGCAGCGGCAAAAGACCATTGAGGCCATGTACGATGGAGAGGCTAGGATGATCAATGATAAACAAGATAAGGTATTATTATTTGAAGTTAGTTGTGAGAACTGACAGGCAGACACATTTAAGCCGTCGTATTAATAAATCTAATCAAATTGTACCCCATTTAAGTATTAATAAAAAACTTTATTAAATTATTGGCATACACGAGTTACAAAGTAAGAGCAAAGGACTACTGGGTTTTAAAAAAAATATCAGTAGTAGCACAGAGTCTGGAATTGTGCCCGGTATATGGCAATAGGCTCGCCCCTTTTTACATAGGGCTCATAACATAAATAGTGAAAAGTGGGTGTTACATTGTACAGTGGCATTAAGTGTGCATCTCTGCCTACCCCTTCGAGGATAAAAAGCGTGATATTAATTATGAATATTTTATTATTACCTCTTTTACCTACTTACTACTTTAACATATACTAATTTTCAATTACTGCAGCTATGGGCCAAAGAACGTGACGCTCGCGCCATCCTAATGAGCGAGGTGGTGGCCACTTTGAAGAGACAAGTGGAAGAGAAGATAGAAGCTAACAGACAGAAGCAGAAGATGAACGTTCTCGAACGAGAGAAGATTTTAGAACAAATGGAACAATTCCACCAAGAGGTCAAGGCTAATGAAAGGGCGGCGCAAGTTAGTACTATTTTACTCATAATATAATTTATTGTATTTGACTTTGGGACAAGCAAGTAGCTTCACTAGGGGAGTTAACGCCTCACCTAGCCGGGAGAAATCATTCGATGATTTGCCAACCTTAAAAAAAGGGGAGTATATGACAGACATAAGTTCACTTTTATCGATAAATATTTTGTTTTTCGAAGTGCCTTGGTCTAAACGAAATGAATGATTTGACTTAGAATCACAACCTACTTTAACAATATCGTTTGGAATGGCCAAAATAAAGATCGGGATTACATCACACAGCCGTCTTACGACTCGGTCACATACTAACAAGTAACCATTTTGTTCCAGTTGAAAGACTCAAAATACTCAACAGTGACTGCTCTTCAGTCACAACTGAACAGTCTCCGCCTACAACAACAGCAGTTAGAAGACACATGTGCCAGGGAGGCCGAGCTCAGAGAAGAGGCCTCTAATGAGAGGAAGATTAGGAGTGAAATTGCCAAGATACATAGAGAGGGCAGCACTCAAGCTTGGACATAGGTAGGCTAGAATTTACTGCAGCTGTAGCCAAATGCCATTTAGCGCTTGTCTACATGTAGAATAGAAAACCAAATTATATGGAATTGACGTAAATTTTGACAATTATCAGTGTCATTCCCATGCATTTTGATTTCTATTCTAGACAAGTAGACAAGCGCTACAGTGGCGCGTTTGGCTAAAGGCCCAGACTGTATAATTTTAACCTTATCGTTTTGTGATAAAGTTGATAATGTATAAAGGCAGTTTGTGGTTTCATGTTTTGTTATCAGTATGAAGTAGTTTAAATGTTATCATTATATCAGTCAGAAGGTCCACTTATGAATGAAACCCTTCAGCTTGAGCGAGGTTTTAACCATAATCCCCACGCTTGGTAATCGGCCTGGGTAAGTGTAAGTGTATTTTTCATCACCATATCTCGCGTTCTTCGTTCAATAGGGAATTTGTCACACCATTGGAGTTTAATATTTGACAGCTGCAGTGATTGGACAAAAACCTGTTGACTCATTTGCGGTGTAAGTACCTGATCGGTGCTCTAATTGGTTAGTTCATTGTAGCCGGCCAATCAGGGCGTCGAACGCGTACTCGTATCGATTACTTTACACGTAAAACAAACTTGTTCAAAGGCCTCAGGTCGTCTTGATATGCTAGTGATTAACATTTTGGTGAATTAGCCCAGTGACGTCTAGTCTACATCACTACATAGTATAAAACAAAGTCGCTGTCCGCCGTCTGTCTGTCCCTATGTATGCTTAGATCTTTAAAACTACCCAGCGGATTTTGATGCGGTTTTTTAATAGATGGAGTGATTGTAAACGAAGGTTTATTTATGTATAATACATGCATATTGCACCCGTGCGAAGCCGGGGCGGGTCGCTAGTAATGTATAAGGACGGCTAAAAATATCAAAGGTAAAAATATTTTTGGTGTAAGTATAGTTTGAAGTTCAAATGTGTTGAACAACAATGTGTGATCTTCTATTTATTAACCGTCAAGTGTACGGTACGCACGCGCAGTCTAGGGTGTTACAAGGAATCATACAAATAAACAAACGTTTGGCACTGCGTGATAATGTGACAATTTCCAGTTGTGTATGTTGACTAAAGTGTATTCTATTCCTCTGAGAGGTAGGCAAACTGTGTGGTCTGTCCATTGTATATTGTTATTGTCTATGTAACACAGCTTCTTGCCAATTTAAACTATACGAAATCTGCCTTAATGTAAAGCTAAAGACTGAAAAATAAAGTTTATACTTACTATGATAGTTGAAATATGAATATGTGGTAATTGGAATGCATTTCTTAGTTTTGTAATCAATGTGTTATGTTCCCTTCAAAATAGGTAAGTTTATTTTATTCATAAGTTTATTTACAATGTGATGTGGTTTGCGTGTGGTTATGATAGCACTATGAAGTGCCTTGTAAGTTGCAAATGCGCCGAGTCGCTTTTATATTTTGTAATAAATAACTTTTATTTATCAATTAGCTTTCTTGATGAACTTATCGTTAAGACGAAGTCATATTTACACGCCTGCATAAAAGAGTGCTACTATTTATGTGTGAAAGAGTGATGAAAATAAAAGGAAAATACGATTTTAATATTTGTTTTTTTTTTTATCCTGTACTGTGTTCGTATAAGTTTTAAAAATACAAATTAAAAAGACAAAAAAATTAAGCTTTCATCTACTTTGCCCATAAAAATATTTATGCGCGACATCTAGTGAATTTGTGTGTAACAATGATACGTTTCCTCATATAATACTTTAAAATTATGAGTATAGATGGCGCTGTCCTAAGGTTTTACATTCATTTTATGTAGATGTCGTTGTAGAACAAAGAACATAAAAATTCGCGTTGTGGATTTTGCAAAAAAATTGAAAATTCATAAATCATAATTTGGTGACGTATGTCGTTTTGTTTAAATATTTATTCAGTTTGGTGCTTAACAGTTTGGTGAAGAAGATAGATTGAATTACAAACTACCTACTTACGAGTTCAGAAGCCCTAAGTAAGTATTTACTTAAGTTTTAACCGTCTACCGTCAAAGCAAAATAAAAATCAACAAAAAGCTAGGTTTTCTCGTCAATTGTAGGTACAACCCATGGGTATATGTTGCGTTACAAGTAGTGTTGATTCATTTAATGAGAAGTTATCCAAACCAGACGGTTTGGATATTTTCTTAACTTCTGCCAAGGCGTCTGCGTCTACTAAGCGTGGAGACTATAGCAAAACCTCCTCGTATTATTGTGGGAGGCATGTGTAGCAGTGGAGGTTTTCAAGCTGGTAATGATGAAGAATGAGAAATTTCTGGTTTAAGTACCTAATCTAGCATAATTATCAGTTCGAGGTACATACGTACTTAACTTTTTCCTTGTTTTAGTTTTGGGCGTGTGTTATTTGTAATTTATAATATCCGGGATTATTCTCTGTTCCGCAAAACAAACATGCATAAGTACATAAAGGTCTTAGATTGGATATAGTATTGTAACTGTAATTTTTTTTTCTCTTTATTTTGTTTTTCTTATGTATTATAATGTTTTGCTGACTGAAAGAGACTGGGCTTCACGACACAGGGATCCCCATATATCCCCAAGCAGTCACCGGTGACCGCTCTCCACTAACTACATTATAGACCTTATTTCCAATGTTTAGAGACTACTTTTGTATGAACAAATTTAGAGGATGATTTTCAATAATTCTCACCAGGCTAGTGGGCCATATAAATATGTAACGTGAAGCTTTTTGTCAATAAACATATTTTTATTTTATTTTGTTGCTTCATTCGCTTGACGTACTCGCGCAACAAATGACGTAGCATACTTCACGGACTACGGCAAGGTGAATTTTAGAAACCAAGTCCTAATCGTACTTTGATTGATACCTACAAAAATTAAATTCAAGGCTCAGCACTCAGCAGTCCAGACACTTAGTACCTACTCAAGATTCGGCGGAAGAAAACTGCGAGAGCCATCTGGAGGACATGGCATACTGTGTCGGTGTGCCCTGCATGGGCTGAACACCACCGTGTCATCAGGGAAGGGATGGGCGTCTGCGACCTCTCGCGTCTGGCTTTGGTTCAGTCCATGCTGCGCAGCGAGAAACACCAGGAGGCTCTCTCCTCCTTCTACAAAGCAGACAGGGTAGATAAGAAGTAGGCGAAACACGTGAAGGGACGACCCTTCTCACGCCCCAGCCACTGCAGGAGTGACTCCGTATGTCAGGGGATCGGACAATTTCTGGCCGCCGTAAGTGCGGGTCTGCGGACAGCGGGTAAGGGTTGTCGCCCGACTAGATGCAGATCCGTGCGTACGGTGATCCACCAGACCACCACAGATGGGGCCTAGTAACGCTGTTGTCCGACATAGACCTGCGGACGGCTTAGCATCTTACTGGAGTTCCAGGTCGAAGCCTTTGTGGGTCTTAGTCAGTAAGAGTCTGACACTCCCTGCCGCCTCACCCACGGCAGACAAAATCCTTGGATGATTTGCCCCTCTAAAAATGAACACGTTATTCATCAGCCGATCACTGAGTCACTTTGCTAACCGTTTAATCATAGTTGTCATGGTACTTACCTAATTATTCCAACACAAGTTTTATATATATATCTATACATTATGTAATTTTATTTGTATATAAGGTGTTTGTATGTCCGTATACTTAAACGTGACTGTGACATATCCATTGAGAAATTATTCATAATGCAACATGCAATCCTTGGATTCTAAAAACTGATTGTTTTTGTAGCAACTGTATGTGAGAATTATTGATATATCAATATCGTGTTTGTTAACCTTAATACTTAGATTTTTGTGTCATTGTTCTACAATCATGGCACTGCGTGCACTTCTGCTTTTCCCTTAGGATACAAAGGCGTGATGATATTATAATAATCTGTAAGTAAATTAATCGTAATTTTCTGAAATGGTATACCTACGATTAATTACTTTAATTCATTTTAGTGGTAAAGTAGTTTTATAATTTGGCTCTCAGTTTTTCCTACGGTACATAGATGTTTATCTAATAAGTAAATAGGTACCTAACCTTTTTTTAAATATAAAACATGCCCCCACTGTTGAACTTCCTTCTTTGTGGTAGGGGTAGTGTTTACTAACATACCTAATTATAATTTATTTCCCATACACTTGACATGGTCTGTGCGGGCCTCGAAGCTACATTTTACTTTGCAGCCGTTTGCCCAGCTACTTACTGCAAACTGTACCGTCACATGCAAGTTTGCATTCTGGAACCATATCCGAGGTGTAGCAAAATAATGCCAATGTTACTATAACTTTATTTTTTAAAAAAAACTACAAAGATATTTATTAAAACTTCTTCTTCGAGGAACATCAGTTTGTTAACATCATCATAGTGTTATGGTATAATATAATCAGTCACAAGATGTTTATTGCTGAACTTAAACCACCCAGTGACGTAACGAAATAAAATTTTAAAAGAATGCCATTGTTTACAATAATATGCCATACGTGATGAATTGGTGTTGATAGACCAATATAGATTTTTTATACACTACTCGACTAAAGTTCATATCACTCTTAACCAGGACCGCTCCCACCAGAGACCAAGGGACCACCCATTTATCAGAGACCGGGCAGCGCTTTCTAATAATTCTGAACGTCACGTAATTTTTCGATGTGGAACTCGACTAGTTTCAAGACACGCTAGAGGACTATTCATGAGCAGCATTCCGCGACCCGCGATGTGGTGACTGACGCGCTGGTTCTCCGTTGCTCGTAATTCAGTCTAGTTCCTCGTCAAATAATTACGTGAGTAAGCCGAAAAACATTATAATTAATTTTGTATGTCTCACTTAAGTAATAACATAAATGATGAACCTTTACAATTGCGTTCTTCATCCCATCCACGAAGCGGGATCATTATGATAAAACCTTAGAAGCAGAAGAAACCAGCAGACTTTCTTGAGCTGTAGATGCTGATGATGTTGATGTTTGGAATGTCCAGATGTTCTAGTATATCTACTAGTCC